GATAAAATATCAGATGTCCTAGGGAACTGCATGCTTGCAAAGGTGTTTGCTGATGGATATGGAATAGACAAGAAAGAGCAGAAGCTTTTGAAAAGTCTTATTGAGAAAGTTTATCCTGCACATTTCTCATAGTGCTGGAGGCAACGGTCTTCTATTGCTCTAAAATTCATGAAGGTTACCATATGCTAATTTTTTCCTCATAAAACTTTTAATTATAGATGTCCTGGGACAACAGGTATACACATACACACAAATAAACATGCAGCTTATAGAGGTAAAATGACTATGACTAGATGTGTATGTCTATTTATGTATTTAAGCCATATTTCAGTGTCCTGTTTAACACTTCTGAAAAGGGATCACAACCCCTTAAGGATGCTCTGCTGCTGCATGGCATCGTAAACAAAATGGCTCTGGAGTTCAGCTTAGTGGTGACATTTTGGTTATAATGTCAATAAACAAAAAACCCCCCTGTGGCACATTGACTGACTTTGCCTCATCAAACCAGGAGAAACTGTAGTCTGCTTATATGGTTATGATGTTGCTTTCTCCACCTTACGAATTAAAATAAGGATTTTTAGCTAGGTTAAATATGCTGGGGTTTGCAACCCTACATGACATTGCACGCTTTTGCTTTACATCTTTACCTTGTTGGGTTTTTTCTTTAGCTCAATTGCTGGAGACAGGCACTAACAAAAATGAAATTTACTCTGAGTCAGAGGCTTTGGGATTTTTTTGTATGTGTTTTTAATAATATGTGTGATAGAAAGCTTTTGGTGCACAGTAGGATTTTTGTGGGTCTGGTGAAGAAAGCTGCTGATGTGGTGCTATGCCAGGTAAATTTGTTGAATTATCTACTTGGAAAGACAAGCTGATAAAAATGAGGAAGCTGGGACTTCGTGGCCTATTTCTGGTGTGAATACATGTTCATTAAATGTACAGTCATTCATCGTCTCTGGCTCAGCATGATACGCTGGGCTAACTAACAAGATGGGTCATTTCAGGAGTTCCCTGGTGTCATGGCAAGGGAGAAGATGACATAAAATGGAGTCACATCTTTAGAGCTAATACCAGGCGCACTGGTCTATCCCAGCATTGGTGACTGCTTCCCACTCCTTGTCAAAGCACTGAAATGCTTTGGTGTCACTTTGGGAATGCATCTAATGCTGTTGATGGTCCCTCTGACAGGGAAAACTGAGCAAAATATGCTGTGCTAGTTGGCAACAATAGCTTCTTTTGAAGCAGGATTATGTGGCAAAAGTGAATTTTCTTGCTGTAGACTGAGCCAACTTGCGACCACCAAATCAAGGAGAATTGATTGAAATCTGCCAAACACCAGCCAGTCTCCTGCAGAAGAAAATTATTTTTGTCAGTTTGCTGTAGAGCTTGCAGACTGGGAGAGCTCCAGATTCTGGCTGAAACAGCAGATACGTAAATTTAGGGAAAAGCACCACTCACCCCCACCTTCCCCTGAATTAATGGCTGAGAGGCTTAGGGATGCAGAGAGTTATTGTCATGGCCAAGCCTAAAGGCAGGTGTGTGTGCTCCTTGGAGCTCCCCTGGAAAACAAATCTAAGGCAGGAAGGGCTGTTCTAAAAATAATGCGGAGTTTTGTTTACACAATTTTTATAGCAGGTATTCACAAAGGTGCTGAAATTCTCTTTGGTATGCCTGAAATTTGACTGTAACCCTCAATCTGAGTCTCCCAGTGTGCCCTGCATGCACAAGATGAATGTGCTCTCATCTCTCCGCCATTGGCTTGTCTTAGTTTCTATGTCATAAACCAATGAAGGTGGTTGACGTTATGGATTTGGTCCTACAATCAAACACCTCCTGAATTCCAAGGGAATTTTGCAATGGAAAAGATCGCATAAAAAGCTTTGGTACTGGCCTAGACCTGATCTGAAGACATGTACTTCACTCTTACTGGTGAAGGCCTAACAGCATGGAGTTATGGAGAGATCTGATGCATCTTCCTTCACCTCCTCAAGAAGAGTAGTTCCCCACAGCATGTTTATGACTTTTAAGTTCTATTCATCTCAAGAACATGTAACACTGGCAAGATGTTTGTTGTGATTGCAGCCAGGTATGAGGATGGAGGGGAGTGTGAGGGAAGGCGGTTGGGGTCAAGCCAAAGAAATCAATCTTACACACACTGTAATGGATTGACTTATTCCTACCCAACGTGTGTAGGATTTCAGGTAGCTTTTTCTCCAACATCATCTGTGCAGCCACCAACAGAAATAAAAGTTTACCAACTTCTACTTTGGACAAAATAGTGTTAACTGGCTTACAATAGGCATCAAACAGATCACCTTACCCTCTTTAAATTAGTGTTACATGGCTGATTGTCACTGCTGACTTATGATTTTCTTGACAGTGTTAGGATGCCTTCTCTTGTCTGGCCCCATTAGGTTCTCAGACATTTAAAGGAATGTACAGGTATTTTACTTGTTCTCCCCAAATCCCCCCAAAACGTAGTTCCATCTTCTGGGGGTATTATGCACTACAGCTGAAAAATACTTTGAATACAACTCACGAATCAGTAAACCCTACTGGTCTTTCAGCATGTTCTATGCTGGTAGCTGGCTATTTGTAAGGTATCCCTGTGTAATACACATTGCACACCTTGTCTGTCTCTTGAATATAGGTAGAAGCTAAAATTTTGCTTTATTAATTTGTGCTGATTTCCCCCCCTGGGCATTTCTGGTTTCTTATGTATAAAGATAAAAGTAGCTGCTATAAGCAATGCATTTTTGGTAGCAGTTTCAAATGTACCTTATGAGTGACTTAGATACATTCGTCATTGCTGTTTTAAAATTAATTGAAATCAGTTGATTTTTTTTAAATTATTTTTCTCATCCTGGGGTAAAATGTCAGAAATTATAGAAATGCCAACCTGTGAATGCAAACTTCTGCTGATGAGGAAAGAAGTAGCCAGGTTTTTCTTTTAATGTTTTGCTGACATATGGTGCTTCTAATCCAGTGACAAATTAATTGACTAGATGTAAAAGAGATGGACAGCGCTTAGCAAGGAAGGACAGGATATGCATTATAAGACAGCTGGTTCTGCCTCCGTTGGGTTATGAAGACAATATACATTGGACAGCTAACGAGTCTCTGTTGCTGTCCGAGAATAAGATAGATTCTCCTTATAATAGAATTGCACACTTTGTCTCTAAATGAGGTTATTATACACACCATTGCACAATGTTTGAAGAGCTTGGTTGGCCCTTGTAGAGGTTTAGGAGAGAAATAAATTGGAAAACAATTGCACATAAGACCTTCAATCCATCAAATGCTCCATATTTATCCAAATTACCATTACACTCTTCCAAAATACAAATCTGTGATACATTCAGGGGTGGAATGTTAATACTGGCCGGCCAGATTTTGACAGGGCCTATTTTTCTTTTGCTGTTGTTTTTAACTTGCAGTATAATCTTGTTTTCCTCAGAAAGAAAAGGTGGTAGTGGAAACCACTTGTAGTGACGTAACAGCTCTCTACTGAGAATGAATTCTCAATTTTTACCACTATACAAATTTCAATCCGGGTCGCAGGAGGTTTTGATTTTTCCAAAGAAAACCTGAGAGCAACTTTATTTATAAGGAACTTTTCCTCAGCAAAATTCAGAGTTTAAGGGCAATGCTTGCAAAAGTAGTTTATGAATAGAAGTGCTTCCACTTTTGAGTCTCAGCTTGTGACCATTATAATGCATAGTTTTCAGAACATGTTGAGGTCTAAAAACTTTGAGCTTCTTGTGGTCTTGAAGACTGGACCCCTATCATTTTACATCATCTTCAAAGTGACAAGACACTTCTGAAAAACCTGACTCAACCACTCAGCAAGGCCACGTGTAGCAGTTCTAGGTGATGTGGTGGCACCTTTTCCCACATTCCCCATGAAAGAATTCTGTGGTAAGAGTTATAGACAGAGCTTATAAAAAAGACAGCAAAATGAGGTTTTGTCAGAGCCAGAGTAAATAATCACCTGTCCTACCTCCCGCTTGCCATTTTTGTCTGCTTCAGTTAAATTGTTTGTCTTCAAGTCTGGCTTCCAGTCAAATAACCCTCCTTTTTTTAATTCCAGCTCTCCAGGTACCAGACAAAGATAGGATCTTGCTAAATAATTTTAAATAATAATAAAAATCTTAGTCTGAAAGGGCAGATACTGAAAATCTTGTAATGTGCAAAGCTATGAAGGAGGTTTTGTTCAGAGCTTTATTCCTCAGACTAAAACCAAGTACATGCTCAAAACACAGTTGAAGCAGCATTTCAGTACAGAGAGCTATAAGTGGGTGCATGGTGTGGTTTCTGTTCAGGCACGGCTATATCCAGTTCCCACAAGTATACTGTTCCAACGTGAAGGAAGAGGAGACACGTGACAAAGAAAAATTACTTAGTGGTAATTGTGTTAGTCATAGTTGTTGCTGTTTATACTTACTTTCCCTTTCCCAGAGCCCCTGCAGTTAAAATGAAAGGTGTTATATATATATGCGTACGTGTGTGCGTGTGTGTGTACACGTGCTTTGCAGGATTTCCTTTGGAAGAAGTTCTTCTTTTGTACAGTCTTTCCCTGACATTTCTATAGCCCGCTTACTTCCTGTTTGGTGTAACTATGATCTTTGATGTAAGGCAATGTGGCTCATAAAAATAGAGATTGCAATGTGCACAGTTACTAGTAATTAATTTTCCATCCCTGGATACTCCTCCAGTGACTGTTTTATATTCTCTGTGGCAGAGAGTGCTCACTGATGACAGTGTTTAAGAGTATTTCATTTGTGGCTCAAAGTAGTTGGATGTTTCTCTTAATGAGCTCTCCCACTGCTATCACAACAACTTTAAATACCTTATGGCTAGTGAGAAAGACTGACACACAGGCAGATTTGTTTCTGCAGATGTCTTCCTAAGTTGCATTTTTCAGTGAGGTTTATTTCATCACAGGTTGTGCTGATTCTGTAGTAATTTTATAAGACCTTTCCCTCTTCCCTTTTTCTTAGGAAAAGGAGAAACTGTATGTGGAATTGAAGCACATCTTAGCCCGGCAGCCTGGGCCTGAAGCCGCAGAACAGTTGCAATTCTGCAGGCACACTCTCCAAGAGAAGACTAAGCAGCTGAAAGTAAGAGATGCCCTCTGTCTCTGGTTGGGGGGCTGCCAGGAGTGCAGAACAACTTCACCACTGATCCTGGGGAGCAGGGCCTCAGGAAGGTTTTTGATGTACAGTGTGCATGCCTTAGTGTATTAGATCAGGGGAATAAGGTTAATGCTGCATCTCCCCAAGGAAAAACCAATAGCAGTAGAGGAAATTTTTTTCACATTATGCTAGTTTGTTTCATTAAAATAGAGGAAAAGTCCTATTAGAATATGAGTGTGCAGCACAATTCTATAAATGCTTTTTGGGCATGGGCATTCTGGGACACTAGCAGTTTTCCATTAAGCTTATTCTCCTTCCCTATTCTTAAACTTTTAAGATCTTTAATAAGCAAATCAAAGCCATTTTGTTTTCCTTTTCACAAACTAGAGGTAATATATTTGGAATCCAGTCTTTAATTCTTGTTATTTCTCTTGCAATATGCATATGCATATTAGGTTTGCAACTTTTAAACGGATGACAGGAGTAACCTGTCCTAACCCTTTGTCATTAGAAGGGAGGATTTCCTGCTGAAGGTATCTTCTGCAAAACTTTGAAAGCATGATATTAAAAAGTGATTTTTTGATAGAATAAGCTGATCTTCCCTTGTTCCTGCCTGCATGAAAGATCAGTCTCCCCAGGAGTTCATCTACTTCTACTGCTCCTCTCTTTGTTGAAGTCATCATCTCCTGTTCACTGCATCATAATCACGTCTATACTAACCGTGAGGAAAAAAATGCAGTAGCAGATGGGCCCTTAGGAAACAAAGAGGCTGTTATGCAAATCTTAGCTTTCCATGGAGAAGAAAAACAATGTAGAAAATGTAAAATAGAAGCCAAAATTTTGCTAAGCTGAATGTGATTTCAAGTTTTCCATACGGTTCCCATTTGTCCTTAATGCAGTCAACTGCTACTGTGTATTTCAGGCACAGTATGCTCTAGTGTACTGGCATGCATGCCATTTTGTAGTGCCAGGTCAAGCTATTCTCCTTCTTAAAGAAGGAAAACACACTATACGTGTTCCTACTTTCTTTAAAGTTTAGTGATTCATATGAAAGTGGCATTGTATTCATATTTGCACTACCTACCACTACTTTGCCTGTGTGAATTGAATTACTTCACATAATAAAGTGGATACCGGTGATAAACCCTATTATTATTATTATTATTATTATTATTATTATTATTAAATAAATCTGTGCTTTGTTTTTAAGATCTTCAGTTGAGGTTTTCACCCACATTTGTATGCCAGAACATTGAAAGCTAATGTATGTATTAATACCATACCCCTAATGTTTGGAGCATATTTTATGTGTTTTATTGTTGTTAAATGGCATAGGCTTAATTTTGTAAATTATCCTTAGGTGAGAAGAGGTGACGAAATAACATGATAGAAAATGAGATGTGGTACAGAATAATGATTTCTTATATTGTCCAATGTGAAAGGAAAAAGTGCTTGTAAAAGTACTAACTTATGTGTAAATGAAACTAACGGCTCCTGTTCCTGCTTTTTGCCTTTTGTTTGTTAGGTTCTGTCCTCAGAATTGAATATGTATGAATCAAAGAACCAGGAATACAAACATGAAATTGAAAGACTTGGCAACGAGCTTATGAATGTGAAAAAGAAATATCTGGCTCAGAAACGCAAGGAACAACAGGCCAAGTATGGGAAAATAACAGTTTTGTCTACACAACTTTTGCATAAACTAGATTTTTATTTAAATCCTGCTTTACCCTTCTGATTGGAACATGGCCAAATTTGACTGAGGTGATATAATATTATTGCCTAATTTTCCTGAGTATTATCTTTCATATTACTTCAGTCTGGTCTAGATTTATCATGATCTATGGCCTGGACAAGAACATCCAAGAGAGATGTTGCTGACCTGTTCTGCAGTCCAGTTAAATTATTCATACCAATGGTGCCCAGAGGACACAGATTAGTGTCTGGTCTCCAATGTTGAATCATAGAATTGTAGAATAGTTTGGGTTGGAAGGGACTTTTGAAGATCATCTTTAACTGAGTCTCCCCTACAATAAGCCAGTGTATCTTCAACTAGACCAGGTTGCTCAGAGCCCCATCTGGCCTGACCTTGAATGTTTCCAGGGATGGAGCACCTGCCACCTCTCTGGGCAACCTGTTCCAGTATTTTACTATCCTCATTGTAAAAAATTTCTTTCTTATAACTTACTCTAAACCTACACTCTTTTAGTTTAAAACAGTTACCCCTTGTCCAACAGTAACAGGCTCTGCTAAAATGTCCTTCTTATAAGCCCCCTTTAAGTGCTGAAAGGCTGCAATAAGATCTCCCCAGAGCCTTCTCTTCTCCAAACTGGGCAACCCCAAATCTCTCAGCTTGTCTTCATAGGAGAGATGTTCCATCCCTCTGATTATATTTGTGGCCATTTTCTGGACCCACCCCACCAGGTCCATGTCTGCCCTGTGCTGAGGACTCCAGAGCTGGATACAGTACTCCAGGTGGAGTCTCATGAGAGCAGAGTAGAAGGGCGGAATCACCTCCCTAGACCTGCTGATCACACTTATTTTGATGGAGCCTGGTATACGCTTGGCTTCCTGGGCTGTGAGCATACATTGCCAGCTCATGTCCAGCTTTTCATCCACCAGTACCCTCAAGTCCTTCCCCTCAGGGCTGCTCTCAATCCCTTCATCCTCCAGTCTGCATTGATACTGGGGGTTGCCTTGACCCATGTGCAGGATCTTGTACTTGGCCTTGTTCAACCTCATGAGATTCACATGGGCCTACTTCTCGAGCTTGTCCAGGTCCCTCTGGATGGCATCCCATCCCTCAGGTGTGTCAACCATATCACTCATCTTGGTGTTGTCTGCAGACTTGCTGAGGATGCACTTGATCCCACTATGTCATTGATGAAGACATTAAATAATACTGGTCCCAGTACAGACTCCTGAGGGACACCACTCATCACTGATCTCCATCTGGACATTAAGCCATTGACCACTACCCTCTGGATATGACCATCTAACCAATTCATCATTCACCAAACAGTCCACTCATCAAATCCATTCTCTCCAATTTAGGGAAGATGTTCTGGGGGACCATGCCAAATGCCTTACAGAAGTCCAGATAGATGGCATCCATAGTTCTTCTCTTGTCCACTGATGTAGTTACTCCATTGTACAAGGCCACTGGGTTGGTCAGGCTAGATTTGCCCTTGGTGAAGCCATGCTGGCTGCCTCGAATCACCTCCCTGTCCTCCATGTGCTTTAACATAGCTTCTAGAAGGATCTGTTCCAAAATCTTTCCAGTCACAGAGGTGAGGCTGACAGGTCAGTAGTTCGCAGGATCCTCCTTTCTCCCCTTTTTAAAAATGGGTGCAATGTTTCCCTTTTGCTAGTCACCAGGGACTTCACCTGACTGCCATAACTTTACAAGTATCAGGAGAGATCCCCAAGCATTATGAAGACCTCAGTGCACTTTAAAAGTTATAATGGAACAGCATCTGATATGGGGGACAACCTTTCTTCCAGTGGCAGCTACATAATCCTGGTATAAGAGCAATGTCATTGTTATTTCCAAAATGTATCAGTTGTGACTGATGACCATCCCCTACTGGTGGCAGATATAATTGCTGATGGTTACAAGGAAGAGCACTCCCCATCCACCTTTTTTTCCCTTCCCACATCCAGATGGAGGAAAGTGAGCAACGCTCAGTCTGGCTTTGTCAGATGTCTTAACCTTTTGATGGTAGAGCCTAAGCACTGTCCTGTATGTAGCTGTTGGCTCTCCTTAACCAGTAGCAATTTGATGGCACTTCCCTGCTACTCTCAGTCCACACCTGAGCATTCAGCTGCTCCTCTTGATTAAAAGCAAATAACTAGGATCTTAGTTGCCTGATTTCTGGTACAATAAAGTGACCTAATGTGTACAGTCTGAGAGATGAGACTATTCTCATAACAGTCCCCAAGCTGGGACACCAAAACTGTTTGTGACTTCTGAAAATGGAGTGATTGAACTTTACTTTTAAAGAGTTTCTTAATGAGATTTCTGCAGTTACATGACATGATCTGTTAACAAGTTTTTCTGTGTATGCTTTTTGTCATTGCACCCCTTTCCATCCTCAGCCTGTCCCTTCCTCACACACAAAAGCCAACAATTCTCTGTGTTGCTGAAGATAATTCAAAGCTGCCTGTATCTATTTTTCCTTAATCATATTCTAGCCAGCAAACAATTTTGATGACTAAATTAGCAAAATTGTCAGTGATAAACAGTGACGTGTTTCTATCTGAAAATTGCATAATGTTACCTTAATGTTTGGAATTAGCAAGAATTGTGCAGTGCTAATGGCTTTCCTGGAGCTTTAGGATCAATATGTGAGGCCACCATAATGCCTGATAATCCATTTCCAGCAGCTAAGTATCCTCTTCACAATAGTTTTAATGTTTCCATTTTGGACTCTGGCATCATGTTTCTTTCTGTTCATCAGATGAGAAGAAATTCACCCATGTTGTGTTGTTACATTGTACCTAGAATTGATTCCTGTCATAACTATTGAAAAATCCCAATAACTGTTAGGGGCATAACTGCTTTAAAGTAAAACAAAAATAGTGTGTGAGGTGATGGTGACTGAACTCGGGTCTGTTAATCATGCACAGTGAATGGAATTTCGTGTTGTAGGTCAATTAGAGCTGAAATCATAACACTGTTTGTAGGTTCAGGATAAATATCTGCCATTAGTGCAGCTTGTTGTTCTTGTGGTCAGGCATGGCTGTAGTCTGATGAGCATGGTGTCTTTGTGACACACATGTTTTGAATGCACATTCTGTAAGTGGCGCTTCTGCAGGGTGCTAGCGCCTCATTGTTCCCATCTCAAGCTCAGAAGCTACCGGCACTGTGCTGACTTGCCCTGGCTTGCACTTCTCTTGTGTTTGTGGCAGCCAGACATAGTAAGGTGCTGGGCTTTGCTCTCCTCTCCTCTGTCCCTCACTGTGTTGTTCTCCAGTCAAACCTGTTGGACTGCATCCTGCTTTGAAGGATATGCACACCCCAAGGCATAACTGAGCATATCAGTCCTGGATAACTGCAGCTTCTCTAATCTCCAGGCTGCGTTTCGTGTTGCCCAGCAACAGTGCAAAGGAAACAACCTTGTTGTGCAGCCTTCCTTCTCCAAACTGCCAATTGTGCATGACGTGTCCTTTGCTTTCTGCAATACAGAGCGCCTGTTGTGCAGCCAGATCCTTCCTCAAGGAGTGCTTCATCCCTGACATACATCCATTCCATTCCACATTGCACCTGCCTTAGACTGGGCTGGACAGGCACTGTTTGGGGTGTACATGCTGGCCAAAGAGCCACGGCCATATGATTCCTACAGTCTCAGATTGCTCTAAATCCCAGCTGACACAAACCCACTGACTTGATTTCTACCATGCTGGCTAATGTTAACATCATGTCTGAAATAAATGTGGCTAGTTTTGCTAATAAAAAGAGGATTCTGTCAGGACAATAACATTAATAGCGTTATTGACTACCCTGGTATGTAAGAGAATTAATGCTCTCAGATAACCTCACACAAAGGTATCATCAAAAGCTTTTATTGATTTGCACAAGACCGTTCTGTTTTGTGATTTAAAGTCTTGATACTGACCTAATGCAGCTTTCCATGGGATGCTGAAGGAATATAATGAGTGACAACAGGAATTTAGCTTTGTTTGTGTTCAAGCTGAAAATCCAATATTTAAGATTTTGGTTGTGAATTTGAAATCCTCTTTTTCTGCTCTGATTCTGAATGTAGTATTTCCCAGGTGTCTTAGGCTTTCTTTTGCTTACTCTTTCCATTCTCTCCTTCTGCTTCTTGCACCCTTTCTGCTTCACTACTTACCCTAGTTACTTCTGACACCAGGGTTCCAGTTTGATGTTGATAGGGATTGGTGAGAAAAAATGGAGCTTAAATCCATACCAGAGACCTGATCCTGCAGTCCTATTTAAGTAAATAACTGCACTGAGGGATGTCAGTAGTAACTTGGAGCTTTTGCACATGGCTGCTTGCACATTAATTCTGCATAATATATTACAATAGTCAGCTGCGTAGAATATTCCATACGAATGAGCACAGCTGTTGGCTGTCTCCATGGAAAGGAATGACATGGACTCTGGATCATTTTATCTTCCCAAAGTTGGAAGTGCAATAGTGAGATAGGATGAGCCATCTAAACATAGCGTGTTAGATTTTAGAGCTGTCAGCTGGCACATCCATTAGTGCCACAGTGATACAATTAAAACCAGTTATACATGGTTGTCATGGTTAAGTTCAACTGTGCCATCTTTTGCCTATTCCCCCACCTCCATATGGGTAAAATTTGGAAAAGGAAGCATGACTAGTCATCCTACAGTGTTTCTCTGAACTTCCTCCTCTCCTGACACAGTTATTTAGGGACAAAGAGAAAAGTATTAGTTCCAGAAAGTGTTTTCTTTTCCTTTACTGGGGACTGAGAAAGGGTACTGGTGTGACAAGGCTACATTTTGCCAAAGCGTGGTTGCACTCACACTTATGTCTCAGTCTCAAAAACTAAAATAAATGTAGTGGCAGCAACCTTCTTTGTAAAGCCTTGAGACCTCTGCTGTTTAGATAAACTAGGACTTCATAAAGCTTCAGTTGGTTAATTTTAAATCTCTCAAGACCTTTCTCTGAAACCTCCAGGTATATCACAGTAAATGTGAACTAGTGCCCTTCCTATTTGTTCTTCTGCGTTTACATCCCCAATCTCATAAGAGTGAAAACAGCTAACCCTTGTTCCCTCCTCCTAAGGCCATTTAACCACCCCTGGATCCTCTGATGGAGAAAATTCCTGGGCCTATCAGTGCACCCACAGCATGTTGTTAGTTTTCTGCCAGTGTCACAGGCAGGGTAATTATCACTAGAACTTTGTTAAAATATGAAGACAGACAACACTATTTATTCATTAAAATTCAACAAAGAAAAAGTATCTCCCCATTGTGCCTTTGATGAATGTAACTGTTTGTTTGAAAACAAGCATATACTTGCTAGAATGGGATGGTGATTAGGAATCTGAAGTCACTGAGCTCATATACAAACTTGCTCTAATGAGATGCTCTGACCATTTTGGGAAGTAGCAGGGAAAGAGCTCATTTATTTCTAATTTCTAGTAGTTCCAAAAAACATCAGTAAGGTTGTAATTAGATCCAAACAGACACCTAGTCTTGGCAGTTTAGCCCAACAGGCTTTAATCAACAATTTTTTAATGATCTCTTGATATGTGATGGCATGAAAATAACTTTGGGGGATACAGATTTCCTTGGTTTGCAAAGGGCTGCAGAATGAAGGATGTGTTTTCCTTGTCTTTGTTTCTATTTAAAGGGAGAAGAAACGACTCTTGACTGACAAGGAGCCAAAGTTTCCACACAACAGGCCTGATGTTCCTCGCTTCATCGGAGGGGGCTTTGCACTCAGCAGACCTCTTCCCAAACTTACAGCTTAGGAATGGACTCATCTCACCACATTCCCATTCCCAATGTTTTGTTAAACTCTATTTGTGATGGATTGTTTGAGAAACTGTAATTTTAAATGAAATTCAGAATCAACTTTCTCTCTGAAATCAGTGTATTGTCTTCAGGAAAAGGCATTTTATAGTAGAATAAACATGGTGTTGGTTTAAAAACTGTGGACCAAATCTGCTCTTATAATGCAAGTGGAAGCTTGCACTGGTGTAACTTAATAATGGAGACCATGCAGACACTTCTTCAATACTGTGTCTTTATTTAGCACTGTAACATCACAAAATGCCTTAATATGTAGTTATTTCTCCTTTCTCTACCTCTATTGTAAGCACTCCATTTATCTTCGGACTGAAAGCACCTGAAAAAAAAAAAAGAGAAAACAGAGAAGAATCAAAATTAATAGGCTGATGTTTCGAGCCCTGCTGAGCAAATGCAAAATTAACAAGTCTTTACTTAGATGTACACATGTAGCAGTTCTTTGTGCAGGTAGTACATAATAGGGTTTATCCAGTGTTTGCTACAGTTAGTAAGATCAAGGCAGTTCGCAGCCACATTGTGCATTATTAAGAACACCATTCTGTTTACTCTGGTAGACACACAGTGGCATAATTATGTCTGTTCAACCGGGGACACTGTACACACTGACTGGGATGTGCTGTTTTCCCACATAAATCCTTCCGAGTGATTCAAAGTTGGACTCAGAACACGGCAAACTTCACTCTTCAACTTCTAGACACTTGGGCATTTTTGGAACTTTCAGAAATTGTTTTTGTAATGCAGCAGGAGCCCTCCAACCTTTTCAGCCAAAAGAGATTTAATTACCATTCATTAACAAGTGAAATAACAAAGTCACGGCATGAGGTGCTGAAGTATAGAAAACTTCCAAGCTGTAAAATAAAATGTTTTGAAACTGATTTGTACACGGAAGCTTTTTCCCAGCCTGGGGGATAAAAATACTTGTCCAAAGAGATATGCTGATAAATATTTCACATGCATATAAAAAAAAAGCCTTTGCAAAGATTTTGTTCTTTCCTTTGGTGGAATACGTAATTAAATATTAAAGCTACTGTGGGAAACTTTTAATGGAAGTGTTTAATTCAAAGGAATCAAGTTAAATACGACAGGGATCTACTTTGCTTTTACATTGGGGACCAGAACACTTAGTCATCAGATCCATTGTGTTTTTCTTTTGTTCCCAAAATAGCTATTATTGCTTTTTCACTGTCAAGTGCATTATGCTAAAGTTATCGTTTTAGGGCAGTCATGCTGTCTGAATCACGTCTTTGGTGTACCTGACATGTCCTTATAGTTAGAATAATTGAGAATAACTGACATGGGCACTTGAGTTTGATGGGATCCCAAGTAGGTTTTACTGAAGCTTTTAAAAGATGATATTTGTTAAGAGTACCCAGCCTGGAGCTGGACTCTGCTACGCTTACTGATACTGTGAAGTAATTTGCACTCAAATAAATCATCAAAGTCACATTTATTAATTCACATGAATGAGAGGCACAGTTAGACTCCCAGAATACCATCATGCTGTAAAGAAGCAACTTTTTATTACACTCTGAATTGTACAGTGCACCCCCTAACTTATCCAGAGTAATCCAAGTCTGTGTACATCTTTCCTTCAGTTACCAGGGTTTAGGAGACAAAGTGTTACAATGGTCAGAGCAAATGAGGGCGAGTCAAACAGATGTAATCTGTTCCCTAATTACATGTATTTTTATGACTACACTAACAAAACACGTTCTTTTCCATCTTCAGAAGTACTTAACAGTAGCTTGCATTGCACAGATTGGGCTATTTTTAGGGTAAGAAACTCCATCTCTAAGTAATTCTTTACCTGAGTTTTCCAGCCTCTATGATGGGTGGGATAGTATTTGTCTGATGACTTGCAAAGGTGAATTAACTTATTTCTAACAAGTGATTAGTCTTCTAGATTAAAAAAACAGAGGAATGCAAAACAAAGGTGATTTTCTTGCACAATGTGTCCTACCAGTCTGTAGGGCTGGGAAGTGAGTGCAGTAAATTCCACATACAAAGTACAAGAGCTTTTACTGTGTTAATACACACTTTCAGGCATACAGATGTGAATGTGTTGGCTACTATCTCCAGTTTTATTGCATTATTTACTTACTGCCTGGGAAACTAAATTCACAGGTTAATTCTGAAAAAGAAGGTAAAAAAAGAAGGGCAAGAAAGTATAGTCATCAAATTATTCCCAGTAACTTTCAGCATAATCAGGAAAAGAATAACTGCAGCCAGCTTAATTTATAGTGCTAGAGAGTAAAAACCATTTCTGAGTTCATATAATAGAATGGATTAAAGCACACCAAATCCCTTCCCCCTTGGTCTATAAAAGTCAGGGAGCTTGAAAAATTGCTCTGGATGTCTGTGAACCCAGCTGATGCTGAGGTGCTTTTAGTGTTCAAGGATTTGGCTTGCGCAGCAGGGAAAGGCAGAGCGTTAATGAGAATATCATTTGTTCAGTTGCTTCTGCATTGTGAGCAGCAGCTCTGAAGTGCTCCTCCAAGTTTTGTAGCAGAAAAATGTTAATTGAATTCCAGTCTGTGCAAGATGTAAGCCTAGCAGTAGCAAGTATATCTTTAACTTCTTGTTCCTGTAAAGATATGTGAAAAGATGGAGGCGAAGGGCTATGATACATGGCACTTAAGTTGGAGGAAATCTTTCTTCACTTTAATTGGTTCCAATTGGAGCTGTAGTAGCTTGCACAGAGCCCCTTTTGGTGAGCAAAGTATGTGATATTGCTCATTTTCAGAGCTTTTGCAATATACAGATAACATTTTAAGTAACTTCATATCTAACTTATGCTCGGATCTTGTCTGGCAGGTCTGAATTCATTGTGTTGTGTAGCAGGACACAAACAAGACCCTGTACACCGAACTATCCACTCAAAGGCAGGGGTACAACCCTTCTGGGATAACCTGCCAGCTACCAAAGACATGGCACAAGAATCCAGCCCTTAATTTACACTTGCTTTGTGAGTTCAGAGCAACGGGAGCACACACTACACACCTGATAGATAGCATGTCCTGCTGCTGTAAACCTGGGAACCCTTTGAGTCAACGCCAGTGAAGAACAGATCTCCGGCTCTGTTATGTTAAAAGCTACAAACACCCAGGGCAGGCAGAAGGAAAGGCTGAATACCACAGAGCAGAGGCTTTGCAGTGATCAGAGCAGCAGGTGCTGGGCCTTGGGGCACTAATGAGCGTTAATGGCTCTGATTAGCTCCACCTGAGCCCACGGGCACCGTTTAACAAGCTCAGCCCCACGGCGAGTTTCCTGTGCTTTTCTGTCCTTGAGGGAGCAGCTGGTTCTTGCTGCACCCTGGCAGTGGGACATAAGAACGTTTAGTGTCATTTTCTAAGTGTTTTTAAATGCAAACTGCTGCAAGATAAAGAGTAATGGGTTGCACAGGAGATGGGGATGTGTGTTGAAAGCTCAAGTGAACAAGAGGAAAGTTTTCCTTCCCACATCCTGAAGACAAGGAATTGCTACAGCGGTGTTCAGCTGTGTGTCCCAGCATGCTGCTTGCAGGTGGGTTACCAATAACTGTGTGAGTTCACAGTGGTAGGTCTCAAGATGTTGTTTTGTTCCCTTGCGTTAGGGTGAAACTGTTGTGCCTTAAAGAAGGCGCCAGAAAGAGCAGCGAGAGCTGGATCCTTGGCTTATTCCCTATCTCTCATGTGAAGCTACCAGAGGGTAAAGTTAGCAGGAGAATCAAAAAAAGAGAAGTTGGGCAGCCAAGCCAGTGCCTGCCATCTCTGAAGTGTTAATGACTCTTCCTGAAAGTTAGTCCATCCTAACTGTCTTTACCCAAATTAGAGTCTCTAAATCACGTATCTTTGTATTTAGGCACTTTAGCAATTGAGTATTATTTTCCTAGCAGGTGGTTTAGCTGTTGTGCCATCTCCTCTAGCGGAGTGTATTTTTAGTGTGTTTCTAAAAGCAGGAGTTTGATTTTGATGCTCTTTCTGTTCTGCACTTGTGCGCTTTTTAAGCAGCTCCACGCAGATCAGCTACTTATGCTTAGACAGAAAGACGTCAGGATCTCATCCCATGGGCTTGCTTGAGGAGCCTCATCTTCCCAGTGGGATACAAAGCTCTGTGTATGGCACAACACTGGTGTGAGGGAGCAGGGCAGAGTCTGTAGGATGTCTGCACATGGCTGAGGTCAAAGCAGCTGCCTGTTCTTATCTTCAACCTTCCCCTTCAGCTGGGTTTCTCCCCGAATTGGAGCACCTCTGTGGGCTTACAGAACCCACATACCTTTTAATCCCTCTGCTGACCTCAGTGGGTTTATATTCCTCACCATGGGTATATGGAGCCAGCCAGATAAACCTGTATATGTGGGGCTGGAACAGGCTCCAAACCTGCTGAGATCCTCCCCTGCCCTTTGCTGCTTCTCCTCTGGTGAGCGCAGGGTGCTGAGCTTTCCCCTGGGCTGCTCTGCCTTCAGTACCCAGGTCCTTGCAGGCAGCTACAGGAGCAAGGCGTAAAGAGGCTGAGTGGGGGTCTCCAAACACTGAGCAACTGCTGTAATGTGGCCACCCCTAGGGTAGGAGCTGCACCATGGCTGTCTCATGATGCAGCTCAGGATGTGGGTGTCCCACTGGGTGCTAATTGGGTTGTGAGTGACCACAAGCAGGATGCCCAGGAGGGGAAGAGACATTAAGCTTTAAGATGAAGGGGAGGAATTGCTAAACCCTGCAGACTGCTCTGAACCAAAGATGCAGGTAAGCTTTGCTCTTGTGGTCTACCTTGGCTACAAACAGCATGTTTCTTGGGCTGTTGCACCTAATTGCAGGGCTGGAATGTGCACCCTTGGTGTCAACCCTCTGCAGGTTAGCTGATGTCAATAAGGGCTTTGACAGTGTGGAGAGGCACTTCCTCAGAGATGGTTTTAACTTGGTCTTCAAGAGGAACTGGTGTTCTCAGTGCATTTGTGCATCCAGTAGCCCCTGCTCTACTTGCTGCTGGGGCTCCTATTTTCTCTGCTGCCTTGTGATCCTCAGTCCTGCAGAGCCTCCTCTCAGAGAGCAATGATGAACCCAGATCTGTAAATCATGGGCAAATTGTGGAACTCTTTCTTAACCAGGGTGTATTTGTAGATTTTCTGTTTGGGATCCTCCTTATCTTACAGCCTGAGCGCTTTCAAGGAGGTGCTGCATCTGATGGAAGGCTGGCCTTGTCATGGCTGGTCAGAACCTTGTAATGGTGCCTTTCCTGGTTGCATGTCCTATGCTGGCTTTAAGGGCTGTCTTGTTCCCTTTTTGTGACTTCCTGGCAAGCTGTTTTCTTTATTTTTACTGTTATTTGTTATTTTGCAGATATCATCAGTATTTTCTCTCTTTTTGTGTGTGTGTTTGGGTTTTTTTTAGCTCTTCAGCTTACCAAACATCCAGAGAGGTAAAAAGGGTGCAAAGGCTGTTTTGGAGGATGTTATTTTTGTAGTCTGGGTTTTGGCAGATCTCGGTTTCTCTCCAAGGTGGCCGGGAGCCTCCCTTTCTGATGGTGGGCACTTTAATCTGCCCAGGTGTGAAGTGGATATAAACAACTGTGCTTTCAGCCAGTCTTGACTATTTAAACTTCACAGCTCTTCACAGCAAGAACCGTTTCTCAGGGCTTTTTCTTGGCAGAAGACTAAGCAGTAATTTAAAGCCATTTTAATCTGTAATGAGAATCTCTTCATGGGGTTTGAATGCACTTCAAGTGAAGTATGTATTTGCAACTTTTGTTGATCCCTCTTAATTTTCCGAATGTCCCTGTAGGAGCAAGGTATGTTTGTGTAGTGGCAAAACACACATAGCTCAGCCTTCTTGAGAGCTGTAGGATAATAAAATCAACAATAGTAAGGGAGTGGTGTACTTGGGATCAGCACTGGGAAGCAGGTGATCGATCATTCTTCCCTACAGAAAATATAGATAGTGGTCAACGTGTGCTCCTGTCTCTCCTCGTCAGGAACACTCTGAAATCTTATTCTAAGCACAGGGTATTTCTGGAGGCTAAATGCATGTTTTGTTTTTAATATAAATAATTGAAGCACGGTGCCCAGCTCC